GAGGGCTGGCCAGACGCAGCCGTTGTCTTCCAAGCAGGCCATGACCAGAGACGGTAAGCGGATTGGTAGAGTTGCCAGGGCTTGAGATCTAGGTTTGTAGTCATAATGACAAGCGTTATTCCGTGCTTGAGTCGCCTCTGGCTACCTTGCACAATACATGTTCGCCGTTCGTGACGTGCACCACGTGTCCTTGCCGCTATCCTCCCAGCTCCTGCCTCCCCTGAGGCAAAGTTAGGGGGGGAGATGCTAAGGGGGGAGATGCATCGACCCCCAATCGCCCACTGATCGCAGATGCGTGCCCGATAGCCCACCCCGCTCAGGAACGTGCGCATTCGCTATCGGGGGGCCATCGCCGATTCTAGCTCGAAGGTTCGCCCCGAGCCGGTCCCCCCCGAAAGTTTCCCCTCACCTCCTTCCTTGCCCCTTCTTCGCTAGAGGCCTACACCGGTATGGCAGGCTACGCTGTCCCGTGCCTTGCAATGCAATGTAATGATCTACGATGTTGTGGCGTGTCAGGCGTTATTACACCTATTCTTCTCCTCCTCCAACCTCCCACCCTCCCTCCCTCCGTCCTTCATCCATCTTCCCTCCTACTCCTTGCTCGTCCCTCCTATTATCCTCTTCCTCCCTCTTCATCGCATCCCTCTCTCCGCCACTCCCATGTTGTTTTTCTGGGAGGAAGGATGAGGGATGAGGTTTTTGTTGGAGGAGGAGGAGGAGAATAGTAAGAAGAAGACGAAGAAGGCGAAGGAAAGTAAGGATGATCGAGAGAAGGCGGGGGAGGGAAGAGGAGGCGGATGAGGAGGAGGAGGAGGAGGAGGAGGAGGAGGAGGAGGAGGAGTTGGAGGAGGAGGAGGAGGAGGAGGAGGAGGAGCAGGAGGAGGAGCAGGAGGAGGGATATGGCATTACACATTGGGAGATGGAGGACATTTGATTGGGAAGCAGGAGGAGGTGCAGGTGTTCGAGGGGGAGGAAGATGCAGAAGGGATAAAGGATGGTTACGCAGGGGATGCAGAGGGTTGCGCAGGAGGAGTAGGAGTAGGAGGGATGCGGAGGGATGCGAATGGGCTGCAGAGGGATGCGCAGGGGATGCAGAGGGACGCGGAAGAAGGAGGAGGAGAATGCAGAGGGATGCGCAGGAGGGTTACGCAGGTAGGGAAAATGAGAAGGGTGAGGGAGGGGAGGAGGAAGATTAGGAGGAGGAGGACGGGAGTAGGAATGGAGGAGAAGGAAAAGGAAGGAGGAAGGGCGCAGGACGGAGGAGAGGGGAGGAGGGAGAGAAGCCGGAGGAGCAGTAACAGCGTGATGGGCTGTCGGTCCGAAGACGCGGCGCCGCGCCAGGGATCTCCGCACCGAGGAGATCCGGGTCATCCAAAAGATCTTCGAGAACATGAAGACGGCGATCAATCTTGCCTCCCCCCCGCGCCCGCTGCCGCGCCCTGGCTTCCACACTTCCTCGGGCGGGCGCAGGACCCGGATAGGTGGTTCTAGAGTTTTCCAGAAAGCACTTAAAGCGTTCCAGAGCGCTCTGGAACGGCCGCGTCGCCCGGTATTTCCTCCAGCAACGCCCGATCTCAGAGGTCCCCGATTTGCCCCGGTCCGATTGTGTCCCAGTCCTGGTTGCATTTTGCTTCTTCTCGAGTCTTCATTCCTCCGCTCCCTTTCTTTCTCCCGCAGTCTCCCTTCTCTCCACCTCTTTTCTTCTTGCTTCTCCTTCTCCTCTTATGGCCCTGGGTGCTCCTTCTGCTCCACCTCCTTCCTCCGCTGCCCTGTCCTCGCCCACCCTTCTCCCTGATCCGTCCTCCCTCCTCGCTGTTTCGTGCTCTCCGATCCCTGCCCCGCAGTGCTACTTGGAGTTTCATGGGCCCGTGCCCCCGCCATGTTCGTTCCTGCTCTGAGTGCCCGCTGGAGGAGTATGCTGGGCAGCGGTCCGCAGCAAACGAGACATGCCCCCTCCTCCCTCCCCTCCCCTCCTGCTCCCCCCTCCACCTTCTCGTGCTACTCCGCCCATCTCGTCATGGACCGTCTTCCGCTGCTCCCTCCCTCATCCAGCCTCCAGGTTCCCTCCTCCCGCCCCTTTCCCACTCCCGCCTCTCCTTACCCCCCCTGCCGCGTCCCTGGAGGCCTCCGGAGATCCCCGGAGGGCGGAGAGGCCAAGGCCCCCCCCTCTGGCGGGCCAGACGGGCCGAGAGCGGCCAAGCCATGCCCCTCCAGCCTCGATCCTCCGATCGCCTCCCTTCTCGCGGGCCGGAAGCGTAGGTTTTTTTTGTTTTTTTGGATTGCCAGATTCCGATCTGCTTTCAGCGCCCTCCTACCTCAATCATCGAGTGGCTTCACCTTTTCCGCCCTCCTTGGGGGCGGGCGGACACCCAATCTGCTTCCAACGCCCTCCTACCTCATGTTTCTACCTACTTCTTCCGACCGATGGGTATATGTATCCGCGTCCACGGCCTCGCGGGCCATGCCTCTGGCCGCGACCGCGTGGAGATGGGACGGGCTCTGTTGCGGATGCCCGCGCGCGCAACCTGTCCGTGCGACCGCGTATCAGAAGGATCGCGCTCCCAAATCCTGACCGCCAGGTCGCGGATACGGGATGACGTTCGCCGCTCGTGACCTCTCCCGGGTCTCCGATGTCCCTATTTGTCCCGGCGTTCCTGCGTTGCAGGGCCCTCGCTCTGCGTCTGCGGGGCCTTGCTCCTTCCTGCCTCCACGACTACTCGATGCGAGTGTTACTCTCCTCTCCCCATGTATCAGGTTCGAGCGCGGCCCCCCCTCTCCCGAAGAGTGTAATGTTTCAGGTGGTGCTGTGCTTTTGCGTCCGGCTGTTCTTCAATCGGAACGTCCCTGGTGGGTCTCAACACAGAGTTCCCGTGGCAGCGTTGGCCTCCTCTCACCGAGCGCGTTCCACTATTCCACTACTCGCAAAGTGCCTACTCGCAAACGTCCGAAAAGCACATGTCGGCTTTATTGTAATTCATCGTCGATCCTCCGCGGCGGATCCAGGCCACTTGCGAGTAGTTACTTTGCAGGTAGTGGAACGCGCTCGTCTACCCTCGTAGGATCAGCGTTTACCCCCGTCGTTCAGCACGGCTCTCTTGCCCCAGCGCGAGTCAGAGTTCTGGATCCGAGTCTTTCCTCGTCGTTGTCGCACCCCTCCTTTCCCCTCCTCCGCCTTCCCCTGGTCATCCTGCTCCTCCCGCTCATCTTACTGCTGCTGCTGCTGCAGCTGCTGTTCCTCCTCTCCTTCCTCCTTTATCATTCTCTTCCTCTTTCTCCTGCTCATCCGCCATTTTCTCCTCCACTGTGCACAGACAGCTCCCCTTTCCTGCGTGCGCATAACACGAGGGTGTCCTTGCCACCTGGGGGGCTCCAGGTCCGCTATGACACCCCTGCCTCGCTGCCATGTCGCCGCCCTTCCCCCCACGCTTCGTCCCAGACCTCCCAAATGTGGTCCGAGCAGATGGTGTCGGAGGTTCGCGCCGCATCGCCGATGCATCGGGAATGTGACTCGATGTGGAGCCCGATGCTCTCCACGCCGACGCGCCGATACGTTACGACGTTGCTGATGCACCGCCGATGCTTTGGCGATGCATTGGCGATGCGGCGCGATCCTCCAGCCCCATCTACTCGGACCCCACTTCACAGGGAGCTCCACCTACGGCCCCAGCGGGTTGTGCTCGCGCAACTACGCCGCCCCGCGCCCATGCCCGCATGCTTCTCTCACGATTCGTGCCACAATGCGGGGGCTCCACTTGCGATCCCAGCTGGTGGGGGCGCGTATGCCGCCCCACCATTCGAGCACACCCAACACACACACACACATTTCGTGCTCCCACAGGGATCTCTAGTTACGGTTCCGGTGAGCGCGCGCATCCCGCTCCCGGCCTATTCTGGCGCATTCTTCGCACGGATCGTGCCTTAACAGGGACCCGAACTCAGCTCGTCCTGCGGCGCGTGGTGTATGAAGAGAGGGCCGCTCCTTGCGCTGCGCGCGGCTGCATGGGGTTGGGCCCTTCGCCAGACTAAATAGTTTCAACACGTTTGGCCCCTCTTGGGGCCCCAGAGCCATCCTTTGAGCCTCCAGCCCGCACGCCGTCGGCCGAAATGCGGCCGACGTGTCGCAACTGCCGCCGTTAGGGCCTTCACAGCAGATTTCGCCGTAACGCCCCTTCTCCCCCTTCCTTGGCCCCCCCCCCGCCTGTCCTCCTCTCCTCTCCGCCTCGCCCTCGTGCGTACGATGTGGAACGTACCAACGGCTGTCAAGGCCTCGGGGGGTACAGGCACATGGCACACCCCGTTCCTCTGTTTTGGTAACATTCTCAGGATGTTAGTGTCCAGCTGGTAGGGCTGGGATGATGTAAAATATCACAGTGGTTGTAAGTGGGGAAACGCCTCTCGCATGCAACCGCTGTTTCCGCCAGTGCTTAAGAGAGAAAAAAAGCCAGTGCCTTCTCGATACCTCCTGAGGCCGTCGTCGTTGTCGGGATGAGAAGGAGATGGAGGTTGAAGGGTGGTGGTGGGGGTCTAGTTCTTTCTAGATGCTTCTGGAGTGTTTCTGTTGGTGTGAGCGAAGTGGGCTGGAGGAGGTTTAGGAAGCGGATTAGCATCACTGGCGAGGGCGAAGGCAGGCAGCAGGGAAGATAGATCAGAGGCGGGGGTTTGTCGGGCGGGCGTTGTGCATATTTCGCGGCGCCCGCGGCATGGTTGCCTCCACGTCGGCAGTTGAAGCGGAGTGAGGCATTTGTAGACAACCCGCATAGTAAGGATGAGTAATTTTGCAAGGTTGCCCTTGCATCCTTCCCACTCGGCCCATCCTTGGCCACTTTCGCTGGCCGCGCCCCGCTCGCAGAGTGTCGACATGGCCTTCAAGGCCCTTGCATCCTTATCGTGCGTCCTAATTATAAGGGTTGATTGTATTCCGCGGCGCCCGCGTCATTGCTGCCTCCACGGTGGCAGTCGAAGCGGAGTGAGGCAATCTGCCAGCCAGTTGCTATCTTTGAAAGTTTGGCCCAAGGTTCTAGTCGCGGGGTTGATTGGCATATCGTTTGCCCAGCCCCGTACATGGGAAAGAAGAGAAAAAAGGACAGCGACAGCGACGAGGACAGTGACAAGAAGAAGAAGAAAGACTCGAAGAAAAAGAAAAAAGACGACAAGAAGAAGGGCAAGAAAGACAAGACGAAGAAGAAGAAATCCAAAAAGCAAGAGTCCAGCGGCAGCTCCAGCTCTTCGGGGGAGGCGAAGAAGGGAGATGATGCAGGCCAGGAGCATGAGAACTGTACACCACGACCCACCGAAGCGTCAGGGGGGCCACGTGGAGCCCAAATCCTGGCGGATGTGGACTCCAGGCCCGGCAGGAGCTTGGGCCCATTTCGACCCGATGCGCTTCGATGTCGGGCTCCTTCTGGCTCGATCCGACGCGGTTTCGATGCTCCGACCATCCAATGCGGCCACATGCGTGCGTCTCGCTGTCGTGGGTCTCGGCGCGGCCCATGCGGGGCTCGATTACGCTTTCCTGATCCTGGGAGCTGCTATCCACCATAGTGGTTATGGGCCAGAGCCCTTGTGGTGGTGCACAGTGCTCCTTCTCGCCCGAAGAGGGGGTGTGGTTCCCGCGGACATGCTGACCGCTCTCGAGGAGATGGTCAAGGAGGGAAGTGGCCAAACCCGCTCGTGCAGTCCATAGCGCGGTGCTCTTCGGCCCCCAACTCCAGATTTTGCTGTGTTTTTGTCGGCCTATGATTTGTGGTTTATCTCGGAGATACACGATGGGGGCGTCTATCCTCCGATGTATGTGTCCCCGAGTTCCTTTCTTTTCGGAGCGGCCACTGTACGTGAGAAGCGTGGGGAGTGGGTGAGAGAACTCGCCTGCGAGCCCATACCCAGCACCAGGACCACTGTATCCACATATGGCCGAGCTCTGCCGCAGGGCATCGCTAGGTGGTGACGAGGGCCCGCGGGCGAGCTCGGCTGTGTGGAAAAGTCTTGGCAGAGCTCGGCTCCACGCCCGGCACGAGGGGGGATCTGCCATGCAGCTTGCCTGCGCGCCCCGTTTGCCTGACCACTCAGCATACAGAGCAGCGCGGATGGCGTCCGGGTCAGGGAAGGCAGGTCCGTACAGTCGGACCGATGTACAAGATCGAGGTTGGTTCGGGGAGGGTACCCAACTGTTCATCGTGTTTGTTGGATTTTCTTGTGCACCCTGGGGAGGGTACCCTTGGATATTTTGTGCGCGTTGGCTGGCGGAGGGTCGCGTGTTCTTGAGGGATGTTCTTCTAGCCTAGGTCTGGCCTAGGTCCGACTGTACCGTCTCGGTGCGGCCTCAAGCTTGACCTGGCCTGGCCTTGCCTGGGGGCCTGGGGGCCGGGCCCTCAAGCTTGAGGACCCAGACAGAGGATATCGTCGAATATTGAACGTTTCAGGCGGTGACCGCAACCTGAGTCTCGGAGGAGGAAAGGGTACACACACCCCTACCTTTCGACCGTCTTCCCCCTTTTGGGCCTCCCGGGCGGCCCTCGTCGCCACCGCTGGACTCGCTTCGAAAAGTTGGTCATAAAGCACCCTGGGAGAGGTCTGGGGAGTAGCAGTATCGGTACCTTTTGGTTTACCCAAAGTTAGTGCCAATATCTGATTTTCCAACACAGAACGTGACAAGTGATGAGTGTCGGCGTCACACCGACATACTAATACTATGTGTGCGTCGGCCCCTTGAGTCACGAGGGGCGACGCGCTCGCCGAGCAATCTTCTATTATACGCTCCGCGGGAAACTGCTTCTGGCGTTTTCTGGCCATTGTTGTAGGGGTTGTAGGGGTGCTTTATGGCCATGCCGCTCGGGAAACGATGAGCTGCAAGATGCTTGTACTATATCATCTGGTCGGACGCGCGCTTCCGAGAAGTACATATAGTACTAGTACGTCTTTGTGCTCCCCAGAGTGGTATGTTTTGTCGGCGGACAGTTTCTGCCACATCTGGACTTCTGCGGCGGGGCGCCCGGGGGGGAGGCGTACAGCGTGGTGCGTGGCCACTGCAGAAGTGAAATAGGTTCGGAGCGGAGTATCACCCACCACGAACACGACGACGCCGACGTCGATGACGACGCCGACGCCGCCGCAGACGACGACGACGACGACGACGACGACGACGACGACGACGACGACGACGACGACGACGACCACGACCACGACCACGACCACGACCACGACCACGACCACGACCACGACCACGACCACGACCACGACCACGACCCACGACCCACGACCCACGACCCACGACCCACGACCCACGACCCACGACGACGACGGAGACGACGGAGACGAGGCGCGCTTGCGATCCGCACCGAAGCACGGATGAAGGAGGAAGAGGAGAAGGACGAAGAGAGAGGAGGATGCGGGACATGCTCTCTCGGGCCCTCCTGCTATACAGCGTCTTGGTAGCCTTTCTGGATCCTTGTAACTACGGTGGCAAATTCAGCCTCTGTTACTCAGGCCACTCCGTAGACATGCTAATGGCGATGTAGGTAACGGCGATGCAGATTTCGGTATTGTAGGTGGGGGGGTTCATGGCCAGCCCAACCGCAGGAACGGCTTGTTCGTGTTTTCCTACAACTTGTTCTGCGCGAGTTCGGCGTCGTAGCAAACACATGTTCCCAGCATCGCCCTTAATCAGCATCGCCGTTATCGTGGCCGTGGCCACCGCACGTCGCCCGAGTGGGTGTTGCGTTTTTCTCTGCGGCCGGCGTGTGGAAGCCACGGCCGCAGGGGGCCGCCGGGGAGGGGCAGGGAAGACCCGCCGTGGATCTGGTGCCCGCAGCCCGAGCTGAGCTGAGCAGTCCTCCTCCTCCTCTTCCTCCTCCTCCTCCTCCTCCTCTTCCTCTTCCTCCTCCTCCTCCCCCTCCCCCTCCCCCTCCCCCCTCCCCCTTCCCCCTCCCCCCCCCCTCCTCCTCCTCCTCCTCCTCCTCCTCCTCCTCCTCCTCCTCCTCCTCCTCCTAACGCAAGGGCTAAGACTCCTGTCGAAGATGCTACCGTCCACGTTGCCGGTGTTGGTTATCATGCGGGAAGTTCAAAACATTCAGCAGTTGCTCGCTCAGGGCGGAGAGGTAGCGTATTGCGTAACATCACGGCTTTGAGACGTACACGAAGTGTTCTTTGAATTGCTCTTCCGCTTGCCGTAGGCACGGGAGCGCTTGCTGGGACCCCTCGCCGAGGCGGGCGCGGGCCTGAGAAGAATCAGCCGCGGTGTCCTCTGATCCACCAGGGGCCAGAGGGCCGTGCGCCCCGCCCGAGCTGAGCCGAGAAGGAGAAGCACTTCGGGTGTTGCCAGCAGAGCCCTGGCCCAAGGTTCGGCACGGTCGAAATGAACATGATGGGCTTGTTTTCCACTCCCACCACCACCATAAGCTGGAGGTGGGAATGAGGAGGAGGAGGAGGAAGAAGAAGAGGAGGACCCCCTCGCCCTCCTACTTATGGTGGTGGCGATGGAAACAAGCCCACCAGGGTACGGAAAGACTTTGCACGAAAACCGAAAGCAGCCCCTGTTCATTTTGGACAGGATTCGCTGTCGGCGTCGCCGAGGTCGTTGTCAATTTGGCACAGAAGGCCGCCCGCCCAGCAGCAGCCGCTGTCTGTTCTGGACAACGGTTGATGTTGGGCACCGTGCCGAAAAAGGTGCCCCCAGGGCCCCCTGGAGGCCCCCACGACCTCCAGAGCACCCATCACGAGGCCCAGAGGGGCCCCAAGGGCTCCAAAATGGCGCGGCACGCTGGGGGCTCCTTGGGCCAGGGGCGCCCTTCGCAGCTCCCGAGCGGCAGTGACCGGCCGACGGGCTGGAGGAGGACGGGAGGCGCGGGCGCTTCGCCTGCCCTCCCCTCCCCTCGCCCCCCCCCCTCCCCTCGAGAGTGTTTCTTGTGACCCTCTGGGCCATGGCGCGCGTTATGCCCCCACAACGTAACCCCCCCCCCTGGGCTGGACCCTCCGGACCCGCCCGGCGGGGGAGGTAATCGTTACGCAATGCCCACCCCCGCCACTTCCCTTTCTTTCCCCCACATGACGCCCGCGGCGCCACCCGTTCTGGCCCACTACGCTTCGGTGCACCACGCCAGCCACGTTCGGGTCCCCAAGCGTCAACCCTGAGATCCGAGGTCGCGGACAAAAATAGCATCGTGAGAAGTCACGACCAGAGAGAGCCCTGGATCCCATCTTTCTGCTCAATTTTTCGAGCCGGATCGATCTGTGCGGGTCCCGAGGCCCGATTCTGGGCGAAAACGCCCGGCTCGAACAAATTGAGACCAGGTTTCAGGGTACGTCCCGAGCTTTCCCCAGCCTCCCGCCCCGCGGAGCGGAGCGGCACGCTGTCAGCCTGCAGGGCATGCCGAACGTCTCACACGGGGCCCCGTTGCCGCTGCACGCCAGAGACAACGACCTTTTCCGTGCTGCTCGACCCGAGATTTCCGACGCGCTCCCTGCCGCCTCGCAGCTGCAGGTCGGGTCGCGCCCAGGGAGGAGGAGGAGGAAATGGAGGAGGATAGGCTGAGGAGGAGGAGGAGGAGGACAAGGAGGAGGAGGAAGAGGAGGAGTAAGCCGAGGGGGAGAAGGAGTAGTAAGTGGAAAAGGAGGAGGAGGAAGAGAAGGAGTAAGAGGAGGAGGAGGAGGAGGAGGAGGAGGAGGAAGATGAGGAGTAGAAGGAGGAGTGTCAAGAGGAGGCTCAGGAGGTGGTGGAAGAGGAAGAGAAGGAGGAGGATGCGGATAAGGTGAGGAGGAGGAGGAGGAGGAGTGGGAGGAGAAAGAGGAGGAGTAAATAAGAGGAGGAGGATGAGGAGAAGGAGAAGGAAAAGGAGGACTGAGAGGAGGATAGGAGGATAGGAGGAGGAAGAGGAGGAGGAGGAGGAGGAGCAGGAGGAGGAAGAGGTCAGTTTAGTGATGATAATAGTGATGATACTGCTGCTGATAATGATGATGCTGATGATGTGGTTGTTGTTGATGATGGTGGTTGTTGTGATCGTGTTGGTGATGGTGATGTTGATGATGGTGCGGATGATGCTGATGCGGATGTTGATTGTTATGATGCTGATGATGATGATGATGCTGATGTTGATGATGCGGATGATTATGATGATGATGATGTTGATGATGATCATGATGATGATGATGATGGCACTGATGTTGATGATGATGTTGATGTTGACGATGATGGTGGTGTTGATGATGATTGTGTGATGATGATGCTGCTGCTGATGCAAGTGATGACGACGATGATGATGGTGATGATGCTGATGTTGATGCAGATGACGACGATGCTGATGATGATGATGATGATGCTCATGATGATGATGATGATGATGATGATGATGATGATGATGGGGGTGATGCCGATGACACTGATGATGCTGATCCTGATGATGCTGATGCTAATGATGACGATGATGCCGATGATGATGACGATGAGGATGGTGATGGTGATGATGATAATGATGCTAATGATGATGCTAAGAAGGATGATTATATTTATCATGATGCTGATGATGATGCTGATGCTGATGATGATGATGGTGGTGGTGATGATGATGCTGATGATGATGATGATGATGATGATGATGATGATGCAGATGACGATGACAATGATGATGCTGATGATGATGATGATGATGATGATTATGACGATGCTGATGGTGATGATG